GAATCAGATACCTGTCTGTGCTGGATTGTGCCCTTTGAGGCAACGTGCATCGCCCAGTAATATGAGACGGCCAATGAAGACAGTGACGTGTGACCAGCACGTGGGGAGTGGAACGATTCTGAGAATTAAGGGACAACCGCTTCCTGCATGATGATGGCACTGTAGGCTTCGCCCCATGAGGTATCGACGTCAGGGCAGTGCTTGGGCCCGGCAACTCTTGGTTCGGTTCGATCGGCATACCCATCGCGAGGGGAAGGAAACCACCTCCAAACGACCTTGGCATAACTATTTGCTCTTCTCCTCTCTGGCACGGACAAGTAGCACTGCGACTCTCGGATCCAGAGCAACCCTTCTTTGTACAACAGTTGCCTGCTAACTAGCTTGGCCCTTCCCTTGTGCTCCTTCAACCGCACTCTCAAGGGCGGGAAGGCCGAAATGTCCCTCCGGCTCAAAGCACATGCTTGTTCTACGTGTCCAGTCTCCCATTGATCATCGCGGGGCCTCAGCAGTCGTTCTGCATCGTGAAACAGGGAATTCGCAATCCCTGGGGCTGATCAGTAGGGGGCGATTGCCTGAAAACGCACCCTACAGGTGTAAGTCGCAGTCATCTTGCTCGCTTATCAGTGGGGATCAGGGTTCGACTACGGAGCAGGACCAGGTCCGCGGACAGGCTGACCCTGCGAAATCGCTACCAATGTTAGTTCAAGCTTGCCTGAAGGGGTCTTTCCGGTGGTCGCAAGGTTACGGTAGCTCAGAGGCCTGACCGCTTCAAAGCCTTTCATCCATTGATGTTTCTGTGGGGGTCCATTGCGGTGGTAATGAATGGTTGCCAAGTGCTGTCCTGTCCATATGACCGCGCAAATCTACCAGGCGCCAACCAGAGCTGGCAGCCTCGAGAAATCCATCCTCATTCGACTCCCCAAATTCCCCTCAAATCTCGCAAATCAGGGAAGAACCCGGTTGAGACGAGGCGAGCGCCCGGAGTACTCCGGGCGCCCTGTTTCTTGTGCTCACCGTCACTGATGCCACCTCGCGAAGGCATGCTTCTACTTCGCTCTTCATCCCAACACCGGTGTTTGTGAGAGAGTGAATACGAACCCCCTCCCCTCCCCCCTCCGCGCTCGGATTGATGACTCTTTTGATGCAGTCTTAGAATGCGGGGAAACATCGCAAGGATTCAGGGCCACGAAACGGTGTGTACCCGTACCTGTACATACATTCCGAAGAGGAAATAAGCTGAAACACTTGTGGATCTGATAGCCACTAGCCCTGCTTGCGGGATGGTGACGTCTCTCCTTGCATGGTTCGATGAAGTTTGCCCAACGGCTTCCGCTTTACTGAACCTGTCCTAGTCGACGCTGTACACGCACGCTTGGCTAGCGGTGTCTTCGACCGAGCGTCAACCTTCCATCCATCTGGATCAGGGGAAGGAGACCGGAGGCCAAGAACAGCACAAGTACAGCATGTGAGTGAGTATCAAATTGTGGTTGCCTACGGGTCGGAGAGCGGAGATGCAATTTCCTGAGCTGCTTTCCCCAAACATCACCCATCGACATCCACCTTGGGTTCCGCCTCGATGCCGAATCCCGTGTGTGAGCCCACGACGACCGACGATGCGAGTGCGCGCAAAACCCGTCACGCACCTAGTGGATCAATCCTCATACGGAGTGCACTACCTACCATGTACGTATTTCACCATCTCGTTCATTTCATGGCGGTGAAGGGTCGGTACCCAATCAACACCACCACCACCACCACCACTCCACTTGTGCCGAAAGGGCCATCCATGGGGCACGAAAAGAGAAGCAACCAAGCAGTATCCGTATGTTCCCCCCGGTTGGCTTCGACTACTGTGTTACCAGCACAGGCTGTCGGCAAAAACGTGCTGTGTTGTGTTGTGGCCCCTTTGAGTCCTTTGGTTTATTGGTTCTGACCTCGTTGACATGACTGCCTGCCGGCCTGGTTGCTTCGCCAATCGCGTCGTCGCATGTGCTCGTGCGGTCAACGCTGCGCGTGGGACTGGAGCGAGATAACAGTCACAGGCAGGCACGCCAATGCACCACGCATCCAGAACACTCGAGCTCGGTGAGACTCTCAAATCATATCGGCAACTCGATGGGGCCACGAGATGCCAACAGCGGGGGTTGGTTGTCCCCGCATGCCACGGAAGGAGTGAAGAGAGGCCCTGTCCTCTCTCAGTTGCCTGCGTGCGTGCGTGCGTGCGTGCGTGTGTGTGTGTGTGTGTGACCCAGAAAATGCAACACACATTGACATACATATGTGCGTAAGTACATTTGACCTGCATATTCGATGATCTGCAACAGGCCCTCGCATATCGCGCTCGACCTTGCGCCCGCCGAACGAGACACCACTGCGTTGTCCCTCTCCGTGTCATTGGCTCTGGCCGGCCAATGCCCTTCGCAGCCCACCCCTTGCTTGCCCGTGAGAATCCCTCATCGGGGCGAACACGCTTGCTGCGCTTATCTGCTTGCGGACTTGGTCACCGGACCCAAATCTTCAGTCCCAGAGGTTTGCACGGACGGACAGGACGGACTGGTCCCATCCGCTCGGAGACCTATCGGGAGGCTGCGCTTCGTTGTCCTTTCTGGCATCCTTCAATGAGGATAGCCGCATTCGCCGGCAACATCTGGACCGTGGCCCTCGCGATGCGAAGTCGCTCCATATCACGCGGGTGGACAGCGTGCTCATCGGTGCTATTGGCCGAACCGTACAGTATTACAAGCCTGTCTGGTTCGCCCACTGCAAATCTGATGAGGTCATTCGCCTGTGCGTGACAGGACTTGGCCGGGAGGCAGGTAAGCCGTGCCAGACCGGTCAAGAAGGTGATGCATTTTCTGTCGATAAGCAGATCTGAAGCACTTGTGACAGTTGGACAAAGTCGCCAGTCTGAAAAAAAAAACTCAAGAGGACGGGAACCATTCCGCGATGTGTCACTTCAACATATCCATTGCTTCTCTCCCTTTTCAATGATTCCCTTCCTGCGCCTTGCATTACGCACAACCAGCCGCGACGGCCTGTGTAACTTACAAAATCATGTGTGCATTCTTCGGCGTGATAGAGAAACACCAACATATCACTCGATTTCTTGGCCCTTTGGAGATGCAACGAATGCCCTTGAGAATTGACAGTCAATGCAAGCATCTGCAAGGTATTGTGATCCTACGCACACCAACAATGCCTCCAGTCTAGGTCATGCCTGAAGTGTTCATCTACACGCATTTACGCAAGTACTTGTTCAGTAAGTCCTATTGGAAGTAACCCTCAAGAATTGATCTCGTTCTTCGCGTTAACGAGACACACTCTCGCAGATACCACCTCCGTAGACTTGAGACTTGATAACTTCCTTGATGCGACCTGCATTAACATCTTATCTGCACCCAACACCCTTTTTGGAACCTTGTGTTGCATGACGCGAGACGCTCCTCGGTAACATAAGAGTTGCAACTTGGCTACCACAGGAGATGCAATGCCACGACACCGTGGTGCCCCTTGTGCGGACCTCTCCGGCATTCCGCTTTTACTAGACCGGAAGGAAAGATATTCGACTTTTGTGCCACCCTTTTTGAAAGTATTTCTTTTTCTTCTTTGCTTGTTTAAGGGCCCCCGACGTTGTGCATCCCTCAACATCTTGGCCTTTGTTGATCACCGCAGTTGATGCAGGTCGTGAGTTCATCCGCTGAAGATCCAGCCGCCTCCCTGAAATGATGTTTGAAAAATGTGGAAAAGGGGAATCATCACAATCATGGGGAAAACATGATGTGTCAGAACTGATCGAGAGATCTTCAGACATGGGATCGATGCATCCCTGACCAGGTAGTTACATACTCCGTACTATGGGCAACTTGCGGACCCCTTTGCGAACGGACCTCTCTCCAGACTTTTCCGATTTGGCTCCTTGGATCTCCCTTCACCCCAAGACCGAGAGACTTGAAGAGTCCCTCGAGGTCCGCGTATCCCGTCAATGAATCTGTAGAAGGGAGCTGAAACTGTCGGTGAGGCCGCCATTGGATCGGCAACTGGTCACCGCCCCTCCGAGCGGTGTTGTGTCCCGTGAGGTTACCTCCCTTCTCACCGCCACTAACCCTAAACACGATACCCAGTAGTTGTTGTGGCGAGGGGATTCGTGGCTTTACTGTGGTCTAGTTGCGAGAGTCTACTCAGAGCGGAATTTGAAGCTGTACGTCTGAGGCTATGGCATGCATCTTATATTATTCATCTGCACAAGGCTTATCCAAACTGATTGCCTGCACTTGCGGGAAAGATCTCTCATCCGAGGACTGTTCCTATATTTTGCAGAGTATGATCCCTTAGACAGAAACAGAGGTAAGGGAAAGGAGAAAGAAAGAGGGATGACAAAGTTGAGAAAGGAAGAAAATATCAACGAAAACCAAGCATCTCTATTACCTTGATTAGCAGCATTGCTATTCCAATCATTAGGAACATTTCACAATTAGACACTACCGCAAGACTTTGCCTCTCAACTCTAGGTTAGTCAGGTAGTGTAAATCGTAGGTAGATGCTTGCAGCAGAAAGCCTCGCCTGTCAACTTAGATGAGCACCTGGTTGGCAGCTGAAACCGGGAATATCTGTATTTCATACATACAGCCGAAGGGATGACCCCGAAAACTCAATTGCGTCGGGTTATTGCTCCGCCGTGCAAAACTGACCTACGTCCGGTCTCAGTAGCTGTCTTTGTCGGAGAGGAATGACGGCTATCAATTTGTGTCCGATGTTCACCCCACTTAGGCAAAATATGGCTACACTCGGACAACTGCCGTTCGGTGGCAATCGGACTTGGAGAAGAAGCCTGTGCGGGGTAGCTTAATGGTCAAAAGAAGTCGGTAGCTTCACAAGGCACGGCGATTTCTTTGTTCTCCGATCAGTCAATCTCATAAAACATTTGAAGTTGCCTTACTATCGTCGTCTTGTTTCGTTCCCCAGATCCACGAAGCTTGAGCTTACAACACGAAACACACAACATGTCGTTCAAACGTACGGACCTACCCAAACCCTGCCCTGACAATAGAAGCCGAAGCCGAACTAACTTGGGGAAACAGGCCTCGTCCGTTTCGCACCAAAGAGTGATGACAGTGCCGTCGTCCTAGGCGAGCCTGTCCAGGATGACATCGACGTCGGCGCTGCCGTACGCAAGGGCGAGGATGTCAAGGCCAGGGTCTTCAGTGGCACCTCTGCCCTCAACCCTGGCTCATTGACTGATCGGGTCGAGAGCATCGGGAGGATCCTCTCCCCACTGGCCCAGAGCGAGGTCGGCACCATCCGGTGCATCGGACTGAATGTGAACATCCCCTATCTCACCCGTTGACCTCTTTCCGTGTTACTGACATCCCTACCCAGTACCGTGGCCATGCCGAAGAAGCCAGCCTGGCTATCCCATCGGTGCCAACCTTGTTCCTGTGAGCCAGTCCCATGAGCTCCCTGGGGGGATCAATCACATCTCTGACAGTCGCGACTAGGAAGCCGGACACTGCACTCGCCGACCCCTGGCCCGCGCCGACGCTGATCCCCAAGCACACCATCGCCGACGACAGCGCCGACTACGAGTCGGAGCTGGCCATCGTCATCAGCAAGACGGCGCGCAACGTGTCCGAGGCCGACGCCCTGGACTACGTCCTGGGCTACACCGCCGCCAACGACGTGTCCAGCCGGACGAGCCAGTTCGCCCAGACGCAGTGGTGCTACTCCAAGGGCTTCGACGGCTCGTGCCCCATCGGCCCCGTCCTCGTCTCGCCCAAGGTCATCCCCGACGTCGCGGCCCTGCGCATGCGCGGCCTGAAGAACGGAAAGGTCCTGCAGGAGAGCAAGCTCGAGTAAGTGACAAGCCCGCCTGCCTCGGCGTGCGATCCTCGCTGCCGTTTGGCCCTTCCACAGACAGCGCCGTCATGGTAGCTTGGGGGATCCATTGCTAACATGGTGTTCTTTTCCCCCTGGTCAGTGATTTGATCTTCAACGTGTCAAAGGTCGTCAGCTTCGTCTCGCAGGGCACCACGCTTCAGCCGGGAACTGTCATTATTACGGGCACACCGAGCGGCATCGGGGCCTTCAGGAACCCCAAGGAGTACCTCCACGAGGGCGACGAGTTCGTTGTGGAGATTCAGCCGCACATCGGAAGTCTGTACAATGTCTTTGAGAATGAGAAATAGATCGGACGGTAGCTAGAAGATGACCTGTCGGTTTCGTCGACCGAAGATCACAGGGAATAGATTCATTATAGAAGTTTTTCGTACTGGGATGGTCAACCTTCATCTTGTGAATTAAAATAGATATTCTGGTTTCTAACCTTCCTTCTTCCTTATCTCGCAAAGAAAAGATATGCACTACTAGCATTGAGGCATCTCCTGAAGCAACCCCGTTAAACAATGCTCGACCATGACTGATAGTACAAGTTGTCTTAAAACTCAGGAGCAGCTATAGATAATATGGCAAGTCCGTCCCCATCGTCTGTGACCTTTCCATCGCAATCCAGCCAGCCTCATGCATCGCCGCTTCCCCCATCCTCCAGCCTGGCGGTCAGAACTCCGAGTCCTCTGCATGGGAAGCTTGTTTCTGATGTTGGATGGTTCATTGGCACTTGTTGCAGTTTCCTGCCGTTGTCTCTGGATGGTGCTGTTTTAAACATGAAGCTGCCATTGTCAATTCTCAAATAACTCCTGCATGGATGATAATTCTCACTCCAAACCACTTGCCCCCATAGGGAGATCACACCAGGAACCATTACGTGGTCGTTCGTTTCCCTGATCCACCCACTCCGACATCTTTGACCTTGCCTTCTGTTGACAAGCCGCAGATAGAGCATCAAAATTGATGAATCTTGGGCAGTTATATCCCTTGTGCCTTAGACAAGGAGGATGCCAACAGAGTGACCATTCTGGATCAGTAGGCGACTCACACCTGCCCAGGTTTTGCCATACGTCCAGCACCGCCTCGACCCCTCGCCATCCATGATCATAGGTGTCCAATCTTGCCCTCGTCGGACAGTAGGGACAGACCCATTGTTTAATCTTGCCGCATGCTTGTTGGCGAGGCCGCCTCAAGCACCGGAACAAGTGTGCCTTCCAACGAGGCTGTCGGTGTCGCGCCAACTCTAGCCACTGATCACCCACGAATAGGTCAATGCCTCGGTCTTGTCTAGCGTCAACGAACCAACCAGGCATATATGAGTAGTCGTGCCGGCATATCTGAAACCCATATTTCATCATCGATGGACCTCGTCCAAGATACCATCTCAACCGTCGCTTTTTCGTCTGGATCCAGAGCCGCTGTCTTGTGTGGAGCAGAAGAGACCCGTCGACCACGGCGGCTTCCACGTCTAACTTGACTTTTCTTGGTTCAACGTCGGTCTCGACATCACACGGCGTCCCATCTCTCCATGTATACGGATGTTCGACCCAGTCAGTTGAGATAGATAAGGAAGATAGTGGTCGCCCATAGCCTTCGCCATAGCGAGATCGCAGCATGACTTGATACGCATCTCCAAACGTAACCCGGCCCAATTTCCACCAGCAGGGACCTGTTCGAGCTTGCCAGATACAAGTACGCTGATGATGTAAGATCCTGCAGTAATGACATAGGCTGTAGCCAGGGAGATCTCTCTCAAGCATCACTAGCAGCACGAATCTCTCGCTCTCGTTTGGCGCAGCAACGTGATCCGGCATGGTGCAGTCAGGTTCAACGATTCTACTGGCCTTCAAATCTGCGTATATCCCGGTCATAGAGATGATGGAGAATAGCTTGAGACACGTAAGGCCAAGTGAGGCGGCGTCCGCGGGCGGGAGATACGCCGCAACTTGCAGCACAAGCTCTGGAAGTTCCAACATAACCATACCAGGCAGTGAGTTCTATCTGCTCGTCCGTGAAAGAGAGAAAAAAGACAAAGGGCTTCGACTGCAGCTTTGCGATACCTAGGCAGCTTTATATCCGACGTCCCAGGTCCAGCCGGATGTGCTAACCTGGTTGTCTTAGAAGGCACTCTGGCTTGCCTCAGCCACTTTGGCAGTCCCAAGGAATAGTTACGAGATGAGTTGTTTAGAGTTTGTTTTTTTAACTGTGCATACCATCCTGTTTAGGTGCCAGAAAGTTAGCTGGTTGAGGCTTAGACCCGAGCCCTGAACCATGGAAAAGTATCTGGCAATTACACATGTCAGAAAGGCTTGGGGAGCCAAGGGAATCGCACTGGCTCAGCGTTTCTTGGTGCAGCCAGATACATATCTATGAAGGCACGGCCTTTGAGGAGTGTACGCTCTCCTGAGTCTCGACTTTAGGAAGGTGGAGGAGGTGGAGGAGGCGAATGAGGCGAAGGATAAAGAGAAAAAACCATCAAGGGTTATCCCACTACCTAAGTCTGTCTGGTTTTGCTGGGCCGTCAGTCCTTCTGTTGCCAGCCCATCAACTCATCCGGCCTTCAGTTGACCGCTCTGAGAGCTTATTGGCAATTGACTAATATAACATGTGATGTGGTCAATCAGGTTGGCTGGCAGGGGTGCCGTTGAGACGAGTAATCAAGCGCCCTGGTTTCGCTCTGATGAACGGAGGCGAAGGAGCATCCAAGCATTCAGCGGACTGAAAGATCTCATTACTCGGCAGGCCTTGGATCAAGTGTAGGTAGTCAGCGAACATTGATAGTTACAATGCGTCAGGTTTCGCAACTCGACTGTCACTGATCAATGAACAAGCCCCACTCAGAAAGACAATATGCAGGGCTGAGGCCGCATAATGGGCCATGCAGGCCGGCTCTTCACTGACGGACATGTTTGCCGAATCGTGCTTGAGGCCCCCAACGACGTGCCAGCCACAGAAAAAGAGGCAGATGTCTACAGAAAACGGACGATTCCCGCAGCAGCGGGTGATCTACCAAGTGGACACTCATCGCAGGCACGGGCCGTCCAAGCAAACTTATTTGGCGTGCCCCCCTTGCCGGGCTGCCCTGACCAACCAGGTGAGGGAGTCGGGGTTTTGAGGTGTTGAGTGGTGACTGTTGCATAAGGTCTATCCCCAGTTGGGCCGCGATATCTGGTCATTCGTTGCAGAAACCTGCAGCCCTCGACCCTAGCGGTCCTGCTCACCAGACAAGTCGACTTGGCTTACTTCGTAGCTGTCCAGTGGGGAGATCTGGTCACTTGTGCCTGCATGCGACAGAGAAATCGCCCACTGCTCGCCAAAGTGCACTTCGGCAGGATGGGCCGCAGCCGTCGTGGCCGATGAAGTTGCGGATGCTTATCATCAACAACGAAAGTTAAAAAGAAGCAGACAAGTCAGTGGCTCTGAGTCGCGTCGCATGTTGCCCATAAAGACTTGAGTAAAATATGTCATCGAAAACTCCAGGTACAAGGACCGTCTGTGCAGATCTTCGACAAGGAGAATAAGTCAAGACAGGGGACTCCCTGCGCGGGCGGCTATGGCCAGAGCAAATACAACATTGGAAGCACTTCAAGTCACGGAGCCCCGGAAAAGGCCATTAATTGGCACTGGTCTCCCACTGATTTTAGTGTTGGACCGACCTTGGAAGTGTGAAGCTCTCTCCCGGCGGCACCAAAGCTTTCCCTCGCATGGTCTGGTGTCTGGCAAGAAACTCCACTCCACTCACAGTGGCGCCTCTCCCCCACCATTGACGACACTCACACCTCCGGATCCAGATCACCGGGCGGCTACAGCCTGGATCACCAGTGTCTCGCTCCTTGTCACCTTACGACGAGCATTGTGCTTTTCTTCGCGAATGTTGCCTGCGCTTGCGCGCGAACGACGATCTTCTCAACCGTCTCCAGAACTCCCTCCCGTGTCTTCTCCTCGCTCTCGACTGCTTGACGTGCATAACCACATCTGACCCCGAGCTGCACGGCCTCCACTCGTCGACGTGTCCCGCATAGACACCCAGCTCTCAGGACCCAATCCCGTCCAGCGAAATGAACCCGACATACATTGAGAACAATAAACCTGTCGGCCTCCAGTAGATTGCGCATAGAATACCTGTCAGCACATCGCACGACAAAGCTTCGAACAGCACCCAGCGCTCGACCCGACCTGGCCGACCGAGTCTGGCCCAGCTTCGCCAATCTCTCTCAAGGTCCTTCGCAATCGCTACGGCCCTGGACTTCCCAGCCGACTCTGCGCGCGACATTCACTCCTGGCTGTGCCTCGGTTCAGGCACAGGCGCAACTGACAAGATGGCGCAAATGCCGATGCTCTCGGTGCCTCTCAAGGCTACCAACGAGATCGACTGGGTTGCACCACTGAAGAACTACATCCAGAACACCTATGGCGATGACCCAGAGCGCTATGCTGAAGAGTGTGCCGCCCTCAACCGGCTAAGGCAAGACATGAGAGGCGCTGGTAAAGACAGCACAGCCGGTAGGGATTTACTCTACCGCTACTATGGACAGCTGGAGCTCCTGGATCTTCGATTTCCCGTCGATGAGCAACATATCAAGATCTCCTTTACCTGGTAAGTCGAACGAATTCTGGCAGGCCTTGCTGTAACCAGCGCATTTCTGACTTTGGATGGCCAGGTTTGACGCTTTCACGCACAAGTCTACGGCGCAGTACTCCCTCGCTTTTGAAAAAGCCTCGATAATCTTCAATATTTCCGCCGTCCTATCTTGCCATGCAGCACTTCAGACTCGTTCAGAAGAATCAGGTCTGAAGACTGCATACCACTCCTTCCAAGCATCTGCTGGCATGTTCACCTACATCAACGAGAACTTCCTCCACGCGCCCTCCTCGGATCTAAGCCGAGAGACTGTCAAGACGCTTCTGAACATCATGCTTGCGCAGGCACAAGAGGTCTTCCTCGAGAAGCAGATTGCGGACCAGAAAAAAGTTGGTCTTCTTGCCAAGTTGGCAAGCCAGGCTGGCGCTTTGTATGTGCAGGCTATCGACGGCGTGCAAGAAAATGTGAACAAGGCCATATTCGAGAAAGTGTGGCTGTCATTTGTTCAGGTAAGCCAACCAGCGCTGTCCCAGTACTTGACTCAAGTCCCTTCCTTGATAGATGCTTACGACCAACAGATAAAAGCCAATCTCATGAACTCGATGGCACAGTATTTCCAGGCCATGGCCGACGACGATGCGAACTCGCACGGTATCGCCGTTGCACGCCTGCAGGTGGCGGAGAGTCTAGCTCGGGATGCTTACAGAACAGCAAGCAACTTCCCGTCATCGGTTCCGCCGAGCTCGAACCTCACTGCTGAGACCGGCGGCCTCCTAGCAGAACTCACCAAGCGGCATTTGTCCAGTGTGCAAGACAAGCTTGCAGAGCTCTCCAAGGACAACGATTACATTTATCACCAGACGGTACCGGCCGAGGCCAGCGTCGCTCCCGTTCCCAAGCTACCAGCAAGCAAGCCGATCCCTGTCAGCGAGTTGTACGCCGGTCAAGACATCCAGCGAATCACTGGACCAGATCTCTTCGCCAAAATTGTGCCCTTGGCCGTTACCGAATCCGCAAGCATGTACGACGAGGAGAAGGCGAAACTGGTTCGTGCCGAGACAGAGCGCGTAGACATTGCCAACAGTGAAATGGCTGCGAGTCTGGACTATCTCAGACTCCCTGGAGCTCTCCAGGTACTTAAGGGTGGTTTTGATCAAGATGTGCTTCCGGACGAAGATTTCAGGACTTGGTGTGTGGACGTCTCTGACCAAGAAGACCCGTCGTCGATATTTGAGACGTTGCGGTCCGAAAAAGAGAAGATTGTGTCGATCCTCGACCGTAGTGCGAAGCAGCTGGATATGGAGGAGAGCGTTTGCGAGAAGATGCGTTCAAAGTATGAGAATGAGTGGACTCAGCAACCCAGCTCGAGGCTGACCACCACTCTGCGGAGCGACATACGCAATTACCGGGAAGCACTCGAGGAGGCCGCAAGGAGCGATGGCCAGCTAGCCGCCAAATTGCGACAGAACGAGCAAGAATTCCAGGAGATGCGGACAGCCGCACAGCACGGCGAGATCGACGCCCTGTTTCAAAGCGCGGTCAATAAAGTGCGGGGGAAGTCGAGCAACATCACCAGCCCGGCAGGCGGAGAGCCCAACCTGCTCGATGATGATTTTGACGATGCTGGTCCAAGCGTTGTGGACCAGATCAGCAAGGTCGAGGATATTCTCAAGAAGTTGAATCTGATCAAGCGCGAACGAAATCAGGTCTTGAAAGATCTAAAGGAGAAGGTAAGCTGAGGTTGTATTGTTCAATTTGAACATTTGCTTCATTACTAACTGAATCGCTGTATAGGTCCACACCGACGACATCTCGCAAATATTGATCCTGAATAAGAAATCGATCGCAAACTATGAAAGCCAATTGTTCAAATCCGAGCTTGAGAAATTCCGGCCTCATCAGAATCGCCTGGTGCAGGCCACGCACAAGCAGTCTTCTCTCATGAAAGAATTGACAGTGACATTCAACAACCTTCTGCAAGACAAGCGTGTCCGGGCGGAGCAGAGCAAGTATGAGACGATACAACGCCAGCGCGCCTTGGCTGTCAACAAGTACAAACGTGCCTACCAAGAGTTCTTGGATCTTGTGGCCGGACTTCAGAGCGCAAAGCGATGGTATACGGAAATGAAGGAGACAGTGGAAAGCCTTGAGAAGAATGTGGATAGCTTTGTCAACAATAGGCGATCCGAGGGCGCGCAGCTCCTGAACCAGATCGAACAAGACAAAGCTACAAATAAGACTGCACAGGCTGAGGTCGAGAGAGACCGTCTGCGCGGGCTCATGGAGCGGATGTCGATGGAGCCTGCGTCCTCGCCAAAGCCTCCTTCCAACCGACCAACGCCAGCACCTCTGTTCTCGCCGGGAGCTGCCCCGAGATACCCCCAGACCACCTTTTCTGGCCAGTACCAAGTCCCTAATTCTCCTCCGCCCAATCAGGCGAACATGGCGGGATCGTATATGCAGCAGTCCGGTCAGTACCCCTCGCAGGCTGCATATAACCCCAGTGCGCATGGACGTATTCCAGGCCCGGCATCTCCGCCACCAACTCAGTCAAGCTTTGGAATCAACGCCATGCGGCCAAACCCGGCCTCCCCCCCGCCCACACAAACCACGTTTGGTCAGCCCGGCAGGCCGTTCTCCACCTACGGCAACCCTCAGGCTGCGCAGCAGCAACAGCAGCAGCATACCTTCGTGCCAGCTAATTTCGTACCTCCACCACCTCCTCCGGGGCCTCCCCCATTAGGGCCTCAGCAAACGTACCACGTTGGTTCCAGCGACTACTACAATCAAAACCGGCCAGGCTCGACTCAGCAGCAGCAGCAGCAGCATCAGCAGTCCCAGAATCCTGGTGACCCATGGGCCGGCCTCAGTGCCTGGAAGTGAGACGATCTGGTTTCAGTCAAGAAGCGCACCTCAATGCATGCCCAAAGGAGCTGGTCGGGTCGGACACGGGCGTTCTCAATGATAAGAGCTGTCTTATTCATTCTATGACTGCGAGGCCCTGCGACTCTTAGGGTTCCATGGTATGGTGTCAGAGGAGTAAATACTGGTGCGATTGCGTTTTTATGATTGCGATACTTTAGAGCCAGAGAATAGATGCAGATCTTTTGACGGGCTCCGTGTGCCCAAATGCGTGATATACGGATATTCGTGACAAAACGACACCGAACACCGAAAGAGGCATTGCACGACTGAATATTCAGCAGAATGATTTCACAGCTGCTGTCAAAATTCATTGCCTCCTGGGACTGCCCCTGAAACTGTCACATTCCAGGGTTAGGGTGTCTTATCGATAAGGAACAAGGACCCCTGTTCAACGCTGGGAATTCGACGACAACCCGCATTATCAATTGGCACATCCCCCCATCCACCTACACCAACCTCCAGCCCGGCCCTTAGACAACGAGTCCAAGATGTTGTCCTTCATCCTTATTCAGAATAGGCAGTAAGTGAATCTTCCCGGCCAGAATCCCGAAAGAAAAACAGGACGCTGACTGGGCCCGCCCCTTCCGCAGAGGCAAGACCCGCCTGGCCAAGTGGTACGCCCCCTACAGCGACGAGGAGAAGATCAAGCTCAAGGGCGAGGTGCACCGGCTCGTGGCGCCGCGCGACCAGAAGTACCAGTCCAACTTTGTCGAGTTCCGCAACAACAAGGTCGTCTACCGGCGGTACGCGGGCCTCTTCTTTTGCGCGTGCGTCGACGCCAACGACAACGAGCTCGCGTACCTCGAGGCCATCCACTTCTTCGTCGAGGTGCTCGACGCCTTCTTCGGCAACGTGTGCGAGCTCGACCTCGTCTTCAACTTCTACAAGGTCTACGCCATCCTCGACGAGGTCTTCCTCGCCGGCGAGATCGAGGAGACGAGCAAGCAGGTCGTGCTGACGAGGCTGGAGCACCTGGACAAGTTGGAGTAGAATGACGATGACGATGAGGATGGGGTTGGACGGGTCGAGGTAGTTTTGGGGGCTTAGTTGCTTACATCTCACGGGGAAGGGGAGCAGGTTCGCGATTGAGGAGCGGCTACGATTATGACAAAAGTACAGCATGGGACGGGCGCACTGGCGTTTTCACACTGGGCAAGTTTTTCCAGGTTTATCAAGTCATTAAAATGAGAAATTAGGATTCAGAATTCTGGCAGATAATCAACGCAAGCTAGAACTGTCCGGCCTATCGTTCTTCAAACGCACCAGATGACAGATGAGTGTGCCTCTTCGACTCGATAGGAAAGAGATCAACCGGATCCTTGAAAAATGCATATCGAGTTCCTTCGCCGCTGTCCCGCCCTCCCAAATGAAGACTGATATCACAGGCGGATCTCAAACGGACAACAAAAGGAATGTATTCTTCAACTCACAGCATCTGCGGGATGCATGGCCTGACAAAAAAGAAGTACACGCGCTACTCGTCAACTCCAACATTGCCTTCAAGACGTGCATCAGCATGCGCGTCTGTATTCGTCGCGTCACTGGTTGCCCTATCAGAGCTCGAAACCGGCCACAAGTCCAGCGCCGTGGTCCGGGGCCTATGGCGACGAACACATTTGTTGCCGAGGCGCTGCAACATGTCCTGCACCCGTGGTGAAAGCCTCTGCTGGTGTTCATCCTTTGCTGTTGTTGGCTCAGATCCGGTCATGTGAAGGTCCATATCGGCGACACATGGCGCCGTAGTGGCATCATCGCTCATCGTGCCCCAGCTTATTTTCCTCTTTGCGGATCCTCCAGATCGAACCTGGTCGATGTCGCTGCCGCAAGACAGACGCGACGAGGCTGTCTCGAACTCGGACTCGTTCTCGAATTCTTTAGCAAGCCTGTCTAGGAACTTGTCCGCATCTCGCTTGTATGACCATGACGGGCCGCGAGGATGAGTTTGGGCGCCAGCCGATGCCGACCTCGCACTCGGAGATGATGTATGGCTCGGTGACCGAGTTCCTTGTCGGCTGTCTGGCTCCCGAGATGGTCTGATCGAGAGCGTCCACTGTCCTCCTTTCCTCGGTGATGTATCGCTCGCCATCTCCTCACCGTCCTGGTATGACAGCCGACCTTCGTTCTGGAAGGAACTGCGAGCACGTTCGACGCTTCTCTCATTCTCCTTGTCCCATCCTGTCGTGCGCTTGGCGTTCTTGTTCTTGGGCTTTTGATTGACACTCGAGCTCTTCTGATGTCCCTTGCGGCGCTTGCCCTCCCTCGGTGACGGTGTGTGCTGCGCAACTGAAGCAGGTGACGAGACGTTCCTGAGCAGCGCTCGGCGGCTCTCGTGCATATGGTCATCCATAGGATAGTCCATCGAATGACGACGCGGCACTGTCGCCTCGTCTTGGAGTATATCTCCTGTCCTGTTGTTGTTTTCTTCTTTATCAGAAGAGTCAGTCCGCATACCCACCCGCTTTCTCCGCTGGGTGAGGGAGTTCGGGTTCTCATTTCTAGGGCAAAGCACTATGTAGTGCTCTCCGGCTATTCCACAGATCTTGCAAACATAATCTTTGCGAGGGGGGCAATCAAAATCGGGATCCATGTTTGTCGGGCAATCGACAAGCTGATGTTTGTCCTTTTGACCACAACGTCGACAGACATAGGTCTTCGGCGGAGATGATCCCTTGCCTCCACGAGGGAGACTGTCTGATTTCATGGTGTCAATGTCTTGCGAGCGGAGGAAAACGATAGAACTGCTGGAAGACGAGTCCGAGTCAATTTCAATGACCTCCGTAGGGCCAGGCTCCGGCTTGGCGGGTTCAGTGTGAGATGGGCTCAGCCTTCCGTCACCAGGGTAATGCCTATCGATCTCGACTTCTGTGAGACTGAATCGACGGGAAAGGGATGGGTCAACCTGAGATTGGGCCTGCTTCCAGTCCGCCACGGCGCGCAGGACAACACTCTTCTCGAACCCTCGGGACTCAAGCGCCCGGCAGAATGAGGCGATGTGTTTTGAGATGGTGGCGTCCTCAGAGTAACTCCAGACGCCGAGCTGCTGGTTGAGCCATGAGAGGAAAAGGCTGATGACCTGGTTCGGTGACAATTCAAAGTTAGTGAACCCCTGGATCTTGCTCTCGAGATCCGCAAGTGACGTGTTTTCAATGTCTTCAACCCCCAGTGACTCGAGGGAAATGGTGGTGTCCACGCTCTGCGCCATGTTTGGGTAACGTGTGAGGTGGGGGAGGTCAGACGCGACTTATATCTTCGTGTCGGGGGCAGATCAAAGAAAGTGATTCATAGGATACGTGTTTCTGAAAGGAATCTGAATGACTTTCAATCTCATCGATTCGAAACCCTTTGAGACAAATCTCATTGAAAGTTTAGTTCAAGGCACCCGGAGATCTGCTCACGAGCCGGTATGGAAGGCGCGAAGGGGCGTGCTGGGCAAGCAAAGAACTTGGCTCTCGTTCTCTATTTAATTTCACTATGTCAAAACCTCACAAAGGCTCTAGGTATGCTAAGGAAGCAGATTCTACCATATTCTGCTAAGCATACCGCAAAGTCCCCTTGATAACCCTTCTATTTAGTCTTCTCACACATATCTTCCATGTGAAATCGCAGCAACACCAATTACAAGGCGGCAGAAAGTTGAAGAGGACATCAGGCTGAAAGGCAAATTCGCAATCGATGAAGTGCTGGCTGATATCTCTACAGTGACTACGACCAGTGCAGTTCAGTGTCCCTCCTCGCGCAGGGACGTATCCAAAAGCCCAAATCTTCAGTATACAATATATCCTAGTGTGGGGATTACTTTCAGAGAAAAGGAGAGCACTTTGGCTTTGATGGTAACATGAAATTTTCCAACTTGCACGCAAGATGCCACCTCAACTCCGGGCTCCCATGAAGAACATATAACCAGGTCGTAAAGACGAAGATCTTTCCGCTCATCTTTTCAAGGCAGCGAATCTCTTGGCTAGCTCATCCACATCAGGGATACCATCCTTGATGTCATCCTGCTTTGCTGGTGCCTTCTTTGCCATGGCAGCATTGACCATCTTTTTGTTACTGCTCGGTTTGAGCTCCATAGAATTCAACGTGACTTTGGGATGTATGTTGTCTGTTGAAGGGCCAGGCGGGTTCACATGTAACGGGCTGCTAGGCCCTAGGTCTCGTGGTGGTGTCGCCTTGGTCAACTCTTGTTGAGCCTCTGCAGCTTTGGGATCGGCTGGCAACGGGGCCTCCAGATTCTTTTGTGCCTGGCCACCACTGGGGTTGTCGTCATCGTCATCAAGGAAGTCTGGTGCATCGCCAAGGTCCTCCTTCGGCCTCCTCGGCCAGTTCACTCCGTACGCCTTGGCGATCTCCTCGAGGTAACCCTGGACCAGCTCCTCCTTCGGGGGCGTCACACTCAACTTCTTGACAACCTTCTCAGAGACCTTGCCATCAGAGTTCTCCATGGCCGTCAGGACAAAGTCTTTGCCATACCTCTCGCCCAGCAAGGCTCGGACCTGCTGCAATTCCTTGATCTCGGTCTTTGGCGCCGCGTAGATGATGCTCTTGACAGCCTCTTCCAGGCCCGGGTCGCAGACGGGGCTATCTAACAAGCCCGCACGGGCCAGGAGAAGCTCGCAGTAGAGCTCGAGGATCTCGTGCAGTTCGGTCGTGATATCGGAGCGGATGATGTTCTCTACTCGTATGCGCGCGGAATCGACCTTTCCAACGTCCAACAGCTGCGCCATGGCTCTCCGCTGCGTCTTGGCGAGGGCATCATCTCTCTTTTGCACCATGCGTAACCTAGCGATCGACAGTTTAAGCTGCACCTTGATCTTGGTCTGCGCGGAGGGTCAGCATCCTTCAGGCAGCGATAGCCCTGCTTTGAAGATTGGGAAGCTTACGGAGAGTGACGACGCCGGCGGCATCTTGATCTTGAATATCAGTCTCTCGCGGGGAGACTGGTAGAAATTTATAGTCAAAGACACGCTGGGGGTTTGCGATGACTATCTCTGAGCCTGTGAGATATCTTGCGCAGGTGCTGGCTGGCGAATTGGTAGATGTCAGTGTGTCGGGTGTTGAGTTGTCGCAAGGCAGACGTCGGCTGTGAGGCCGCATGATCGCGGTGGTAGGCGGGGTACCTAAGTAATGTAATACTAAGGTAAGCTTCTTGGGCGTCTGTCTGCACCAGTGTCTCCACTGCAACTCGGCCGCAAGATGACGTACTTGCGATAAGGAGCTTATCACGAAAAAAAGTAGCCGCGATCTCATACGATGCCATTCCACAGAGCCCGTGTTTTGCTTCTCTCCGACTACGTCCGTCTATTCTTCGACTTGGGGGTTTACGGCACGAAGGGCCTTTAGCGTCCTTCTTGGTACGCATCGGAGAGCATGGATTGTTCAAGCAGTTCTTCGGACGGGCACTGGAGAACAACCCCCCGGGTCCGACCAACATGGCTCCCCCGTTGCGCCTCGGCCGGAAGCTTGGCGACTTCAAGGCAAGGCTGCAAACCAACAACCTCTGGAGACACATTGTGAGATACACCGTGGCTATGAACCTCACTCTCATCATCTCGGTCATACCAGCCTCCAAAGCAGTCATTGGGCCTTACTCCTTTCTTGGACCATTGACTGCTGTGTTCGGCCATTGCGGCCAGCGCGTCGGGTTGATGGTAGAGTCGCTCGGTATGGTCGTCATTGGATCCCTCCTGGGAGTCGCCTGGTCGAGTTTGGGCTTATATCTTGCGAGCCTGGTCTGGGACCGTAACATGGTCGCGTCTCACACCATCAGAGCCATCTTCCTCGTGGTTGTGGCCATCTTCCATGGCTTCTTCCGGTCTCACACCCCGCGTGTGTTCAATTTTGTCTTGTTCTACTCTTTTGTATCGACAATCATGCTGGCAGGGACTGAGAACTCTGTGTCTCGGGAGTTTGTGGCCAACATGGTCTACCCTATCCTCTGTGCCGCAGGCATTGTTGTCGTCGTTAATGTGTCAGTCTTTCCCGAGTTCTCGAGCAACTCACTCGTCACTACGACTATGGCAACATTGACTCAGACCACCAACACCCTGAGAGACGCGACACAGTGGTTTGTTTCCCCTGTCGCTTCTCCGAGACCGGAACGGACTCAATCACAGACACCCTTCCGTCATGTCCGCTCGGCTTACCATCGGAGATCACAGAGCATGATCAGCAACCCTTTCCAAGATCTCCCGGCTCATGGTACACGTGGAGATCCTAATATGGAACGACTGACCTCCCTGTCAGAAGAGAAGACCAAGCTGCGAGCCAAGTTGAACACCTGCAGATCAGTCCAGCAGGAGTGTACCTTTGAAATCACATTTTCCGTGTTGCCTCCTCGATGCCTGAAACCATTCAACGCATTGGCTATGTCGGCTCTTGTACAGAGCACAATTTCTCTGATCGGGGCCTGCGAGAGCAAGTTTGCCATGATGGGTAATCACCCAGCTGTAGACGGGTCGAATCAATCACTCAATGAGGCTCAGAGGGAGGCCCAGAGAGCGAGGCCTTCAACTAAGGAAAGCAGAATCCCGGACTCACCCAACCCGATCTCGAGTAAAAACTCGAGCCTGGACATCGCGATTGAAGACAAGGTGAAGCTTGTAAAGCCGCACCGAGAGATCAAGAACGGCGACGTGGAGGTTCTCGAGTTTATTCTGTCACATCTCAGCCAACCTATCAAGGAGTTCCAAAGAGAATTGGATCACGTCTTCGAAGCTCTCCTCGCATGCCTTGCGTACTGTTTTGATGCACCGCGTCTACCATCGGGAGCCTTCACCCCGCGCGGCATCCAGATAGAAGAACTCGATATACGATCCGCAAATTTCGCTACTGCTCTTGAGCAGTTTGAAGTGGCATCTGCATCAGCTCTCGAAACAGTTGCTATGGCGGACAGCTGGGAAGGTTCACAGGTAAGCGAGATTGTCTTTGAGCACATTTGTCTCTTGGACTCTGAGCTAACCCGATACAGGTCGACATCATGCCGCGAGTTGAGGTCTTCCTTGTTTCCTCCTTCGTTCTGGGCTTGAGACAGATTGGCGAACAAAGTCAGCAAATGCTCAAGCACGCTAGAACCTTGGTCGAGAAACGCCAGGCACGTCACGGCCGGAGAAAGCTGCATTTTCCTCGGAAATTCCATTGGCGTCAGTGGTTATTCTCAGGTGGAGAACAAGACGTCGTAATTCTCAAAGAAAACGCTCGGAAACAAGCTCGGTCCGGCCAAGATCTCGTCACTGCTCTCGATGATGACGACGATGAGACCGACCACCCGACACAGGAAGACAACCCCTCTATGCGAAGGCGCGACCAAGAGAGCGCAAATCCCCGGCCAGAAGCTGCCGCTCATGCAAGTGAACCAACCTTTGCGGCGATAGCTGCCAAGAAATCAGGCGCGAAGCCCGGTACCAGTAATACTCGGAAACTTCGTGTAAGAGCAGCCGACTGGATCGAGAGTATGGCCCAGTCGGATGATATACCTTATGCCCTGAAGCTTGGAGTTGCCATTATGCTAGTGACCTGGCCCTCGTTCGTTACATCCACGAGATCGTGGTACAATACTGTTCACGGGGTTTGGGCGCCCCTGCAACTGGTACTCGTTTTCGAGGTTTCAATCGGCACTTCACTATGGGTTTTCGGGGTCAGGGCAGCCGGAGTCGTCTTTGGATGTGTTATGGGCCTCCTATCATACCTTGTTGGACGAGGTAATCTCCCAGCTCTGGTGGTATTTTTGCAGCTCGGTATCATTCCCTCTGCATATGTGCAGCTTGGAACGCCTTATGTGAAGGCGGGCATGATTTCTGTGGTATCTATGACTGTGGTTTCTTTATGTAGGTCTTGTCACAGCCCACCCTCCCAATCCGGTCCACTGATGATCTATTGCAGCCACTGTCGACCAAACTGGTCCCGCCTGGGAGAATTTTGTCAAGCGTCTATGTGCTTTCCTGGTCGGTGGCGCAGCAGCGTTGCTCGTTCAAGTGATCATCTATCCCGTGCGGGCGAGAGAACGACTTATTGAGTCTATATCGTCCTGTCTCGACCAGGTGACCAAGATGCAAGCAGCAGTGGCCGTAGGCATCGACAATCCGACCAAGGTTGTTTTCCGATCCAACCAGCTTCATGCAAGATTCAGCAGGGCCAAAAACAAAGCGACCGCAGCACTCGGCGCCGCAGACACCTTCCTCCCCTTCTGCCTCACAGAACCTAGACTGAAAGGGAATTTCGACGATCTCCATCCCATCTACAAGGAGATAATCTACGTTCTGTACCAAATCATTGATCGCATGGACAATGTCGTGCAGCTGCGCAGAGCATACGGCAGCTCTGTCTTGGAAAAATTGAACGAGCAGGTCTACGGCCACCGCCGCAACGTAGCGGCCAGCGTCACCCTCGCCCTGTTCGCGGTCAACGAGGCCCTGGTCACGAAGCTGCCGCTCCCGCAGTTCCTCCCTTCAAGCCGCCTTGCTCAAGTCCGGCTCATCCACCGGGTAAGGGAGCTCGTCGCGGGGGAGCCTCTCGCCACGGACCAGCTGCGGCGGACGAGCATATTGGGCATGACGCCGCCGTCGCCACCCGTCCAGCCCGTGCCGCTGACGGAGAGAGCGGTCCGCAGCATCACGGAGGAGAACTTTCTGTCGTGGAGCGCGGCGGCCGCGGGCCAGATGGAGATCATCGAGTACCTCGAGGAGCTGGTCGACCTCGCCAAGCTGCTCGTCGGCGTGTCGGCGTTCCGGGCCGGCCTGCTCGAGCAGCCCAACTACCGGCACTACGTGGGCCGCATCAAGAAGCGCGAGGCGCACCTGGAGCAGTTCAACCGCTTCGCCGCGAGAGCAGCAGCGAGGGGCAGACGCGGCCGCCGTAGGGACGACGACAACTTTGCTGTGGAGGATGATGATGATGACGACAACGACGACGGAGATAGCGACGGCCGGGGCCCGGACGACGATGTCTATCTGCGCAAGTGCGAGACTTTTGACCCCACGGGCGGGATGGGGGGTTCTTTCCCTGCCTCGACTGGGCTGAGCCAGCGCAGGTTCTCATCGAGTGCGCTGCCGTCGAGTCTGTTCAGGGTGGGCACTAGGTTGAGACAGGGAAATAGCATTGAAGAGGGCATGTCGGCTGCCGAAGAGCGGAGGCAGGCCCTTGGGCGTCATGGCAGGGGCAAGGGCAAGGGCAAGGGCAAGGCCAACTGATTAAAATGAGCAATGGCACTGGGTCATTGAGTGAACACTACTGAATAAATACTTTCAATGCGAATGTTGAACGCAATACTCAATTTTTGTAGAAATTCTCGAGAGGTCCAGTACCAATTGTGACGCTGAAACCCAAGGACGTGTTTAGAGCCCAATTCAGTGCCAACCCCTTGCTCCAATGAAGTAGCATGTTCATGTTAAACTCCCGAGACGCCACACAGTTCCCATGATGGGGGTATCGTTCGCAATGTCAGGTCCAAGCCGACCCACCACATTGTGCCAAATCATCCTAGACGCCAAAGCCACCACCGTCACAGACAGCGAGAAACGTGCATCGTACACCGATCAAAGGAAAACCAGAAAGAAAGAAAAACACAAGCTCAGAACTGTTGTCAACACATGTTAGTACTCACCCGTCTGAAAGGAAAGAATGCAAACAACGTCAAGACTTACCAGCCTCAGGCTCGTGTGAGAGCCCATCCGCGTGCCGTTGAGCATGGCGCGGGACTTCTTGGGGCGGGCCTGGAGGCGGCGGAACGCCTCCTGGATGTGTCGGCCCTCGACGGGGGCGCGGCCCTCGCTGGGCGGGTCGAAGAGGCCCTGGGCCAGCTTGCGCTTCTTGCTGCCGGCGGCCGCGTTCTCGCCGCCGGTGCGCTCCTTCATCAGGTCCTCCTGCTCCTTGATCTTGAGGGCCTCCTCGGTCAGGGTCTGGACCATCTCGAAGGTGAGGAAGCCGAGGATGTCGACGATGTCGTCGGACGGCTTGCTGTCGGTGACGAGGCCGAATCCGGCCCACTCGCGGAACCGCTTGCCCTTGCGGTAGGTGAAAGAGGCCTGGCGGTACTCGGACCATGTGACGTACTCCTCCCGGGTCATGACCTTGGTGCGCTCGTCGGCCTTGCGCAGGCGCTGCAGGGTGATGTAGTTCATCTCTTCCTCTTCTTCGTCCTCTTCGTCATCGCGCTCGGGTACCTCTTGGCTGTAGTAGGACGAGGGCTCCCAGAGCAGGCCGACTTTGGCCTTCTTGTTCTTCTTGGCGGTCTCATCGACGGGCCCGCCGACAGGGCCACCGACGGGGTCCTCGCCGGCGCCGAGATCCACATCGCCACCTTTATCGTCCGAGTCCTTCACGTTCTTGCGGACATCCTTCCACGACAGGAAGGTTCGGAGACGAGAGACTTTGGGGGCGTCATCGCGGATCTGAAAGATGAGGTCATTGATGGTGATTGATCGCGAACCACGGCGCGCAGCCAGTTCGGTGCAGCTGCGAAGCTTGACAGGCGGTCAGCGACGTGTGCAAGAGGAATGTATGCAGAAGTGCCCGTGACCTACAATTTCAACGACTTGCTGTCGAACAACCTCCTCAATGATGCCGGTCGTCTCAACCGAAGGCTCGCCGGTCTCTCCAGAGACGTACATCATCTGTGCAATTTGTTCTCGTAAGTCTGACCTGAACTGTTCCATGGTTTGCTCGAAGGGAGCTTCGGGGTTGGTCTCATCGTAGACATGACGGAAAGGATCTGCCTCCAGCTTTGGCGGAGACGGTGGTGGAACGGGGGTCTCGAAATCAGGGGCTTCTTCATCACTCTCATAGTATTCTCCATCTTCGCAGAGATCAAACACGGTCGCGTTGACAGGACAGCCGCCTTGAGTGGCAGGGTCATTGCTTGAAGAAGCCATGTCGATGATCTGTTGCAAGAGAGAGATTTGAGAGCGGAGGTGCTGGGAGGTGGAGGGCAGACTTCGAGCTGTACTTCAGTTCTCGAGATGTTGTTGCGGGGCAGATGGTTCAACTTGATCTTGATCTGAAGGGAGAGTAAAGTGAAATGCGAAGTGGATGTAAGGTGAGAGGGATCAGCCAGAGGATACTGCTTTATATCGGAAACAAGAGAATGATGGCCTCGAACTTGGACAGCAACGCGTCCTTGTTTGGGGACTGATTGCGAAGCCTCGTAAGTTTGCCAGAGGAATTGCAAAGGCTCAGGGTATCGGCCAAGCCATGATTCTCTTCCACTAGTCCTGACTCTTTATGACTTTCTATTGACTGTAACACGCGATACAGCCGGCAACCCACACTCAAAGCCTCACTTGAGGCAACAGCGGTGCGAGGAAGGCTCTGTGATTCTGCGAATGTGAAGGAATGATTCATGGCGGGGAGGATGACTGGGCCTTGAGAGGGGCAAAGGGCCACAAACCTGCTGAATCTCCTGGCGATACTTGTATTGCTTTCCATCTTTGTCCGCCATCTTGACTCCTCAGCCTAGGCGCACCAGAACAACCGATGAGTTGAGTGGCAGATGCGAAGATCTGTAGGTACTGTCGACAGCGCTGGGGTCGTCCTCGATCGCAAGGCAGATAACAAATTGTGGTAAGCAAGTAGCAAAAGAAACGAGCTCGATGAGCAAATAGTGCTCTTTGCAAGCAGAAGCTAAGCAAGGTTGAGCGATGATATCGTGTTGTGAGGATCTCCAACTGGCGCGAACTCGGAGTCTGGAGATGGTTGCGAACTAATCTACTGTAGGTAGGTCAACGCAGCCGTGGCTGTAGGTCGTGAGTGGGTCCTGAATCGCGCTGTGGGGCCTTGCGATTGATTGAGGGTTGGTGTAGTTACAATGGTGTGCAGTGTGTGCAGTGCGTGCACTGATGCACAGTAGCAGTTCGCTAGTGCTACACACAAGTACCTCCTTTGCCTAGCAACTCCCCGATTTCCAACACCACAACCCCCCCGAGAGTGACAGGTTCCTCATGCACAATCTTCAAACTTATAATGACTGTAAAGCATATGAATTTGGTGTCGTCCTGTTCATAAGAAAAGGGGTATCACTACAAGAGGGCTGTTTGCCACTGCAACTCTACTACTCATCGCCTGTCCCACGCCTTGAAACCTTGCCCTCGCCAGCCCCAGGCGATGATGTAGTGGCTTGCCAGCAGGTCCCATTCTTCAACCTCGTCCAACCCTTCCAGACTGTTGACTCTCTCTTTTTCTTCTTCGGGTATCCAAGTAGTCCATATGTCCTTCACCGTTAGTTTCCTTACACTCTCGAAGCCTGCCTCCTTCAGCCTCGCCTCTTGCTGGCTTGGATTTCGGTAGGATGCTAGGGTCGGCATAACGATGCCTCGCGACCCCAGGTTCGATATCATGACCTGGCCGAAGGAGTCGTCGGGATCCGTCGGTTCGTAGATGATAATGCCAAGGTCGACTATTTTGTCCGTGAACCACTTGATGACATCCTTGGCCTCCGACGTCTCGAGATAGCAGAGACAGCACTCGGATATCAGCAGCGTCGGGATGTCGGTCCTTAAACCATCCATAGCCGATAGGTCTGCGTGGGCCAGCTCACGAAGATCTATGCCATGGCACCAGTACTGATTTCCATCATCAGTCTTTGCCTGCCAGGAACCCTTGTCGCCAACGCTGGGACTGGGGAGAGCTCTCATGAGCAGCGGCGTAGCTTTGACAGTGTTCAGCTTGCGGGTGCAGATCACAGGGAAGTCAATCTCGTGATAGGTAACGCCCTTGGCCTTGGCCTCGGAGAAGAGACGCAGACTGCGCGTGTCTGTGCCCGCGCCGAGGGAGATGATCTGACGCTCTGACGACGCTGATGACAAGCCATCCGACCCGAAAATGAATGAGTCTATCAGGATGTCAAGAGCAGTGGTGCGGGTATATGTCCCTGGAGTGAAGTTAGTAGAGACTAGCAACTCGCCGTCGTCGCTCGTCGCTCACGCACCTCTATTGATGATGGGCAGTCTGCGAACAGGGGCACCAGGGCCGCCTTGGACAAAGAACTGCGCGAAGGGGTCATTGAGAAAGCCAACGTCGACAGCGCTTAGGCGCGACACTGCGGCATCTGTATCTGTTCCTTGAATCGTGGCGTCGTGTCCAGGGCCACTCGTTGAAGACGTGCCTCCACGGCCTCGGTGGCGACCACCCCGCCCACCTCTCGCACTGCCTCTCAGCGAGAGGAGGTTTGGTATTGAAGACATGCGGCCGTTGATCAAAGCGATGTTGGGTCGGTGGCGCGTTTTGGCCGCGGTTCAGTCTGTTCGGTTTTGTACTTGTAGATGGTCGTCCCCAGGTTACCTAGGTCAGGTACCAGTGATCCTAGTAAAAGTGTCTCAAAAAGGACAGTACCTAACGTGGGGCGCTTGGGAGCGGGAGGGGATGGCCAGGCCTGACGTAGTTATGGAGTGTCGTACCGTAGCTACCACCTAGGCATGCTAGGCTCCCGACAGGGCTGGGAGAGAGGAGGGACCACCATCAACCCACACCTGCTGTTGGAAAAGGGCATACAGAGTGATAACCAGCCCGTATTAATTCCCCACGAAGGATCTACTTGCTTGTACTTGCATTAGTTGAGAACACTGGCTGGGAAGATCAAGTCTGGGATCTAACTGGATTGATCCTCACAACTTCGTAAGCGACTACATATGTACAAGTAGGTAAGTACCTAACAAAGTACCGGGCTGTCCCTCCGAAGCGTGTCGGCATCCACGCGGCACAGTGGGGCTGTGCACCAAGTTAGAAGCTCTGACACGGGCTTTCGCCCTGCAGACCCGACAGCCCGGCCTATCCGCTACGCCCGATGGGAGTACATTGAAGTACAGCTAAACGTCAGTGGCCCACAAGCTGTCTGCCTAATTTTAGCGCCTTCGCCTCCCCAAACGCCGTTAAAACCGCCTCCCCGGCCTGTCTAGGTCTCGTCGTTTGCTTCTTCCAATCTGACATCTTACGACCCGATGCTGTGAACCGTGTTTCCTTCTGTTAATTCGACCTCATTCATTGGAATCTATCACTCAGTACCACTTGAAATCATCGACAACAATGTACAGCGTGTTGGCTTCGGGAGCCGCCAGCCTAGCCAAGAGGGCTGCCGCTGGCGACGACGGTGGCCATAAATTCTACCAGCTCCCTCCCTGGGCTTACCTCGTCCTCCTTCTCACGGCCATCGCCTTCCTCCCAGGGTTCCTCTTTGTAAGTCTGAATCGTGTCCGTGTCGGTTTCTTCAAGTACCACTAACACGACCACTGTAGGTTGGCTACACTCTTCATGGCATCTATCCCATCCTGGCCATGGTGGAGGACCCCCATCCTCCAGCTTACGAACCCCTCGCCTTGAACGAGGACGCTGATGGCGCCCCTGCCACTCCTGGCAACGAACCCAAGGCTACGACCTCGAGTCTTCGCAGGACGAACCGTCTCCTCTTCTCGACTGCTGGGTGGCGTGCCAACTTCCGTGGCTTGCTGTGCTACCTCTGCATTGCACTCTGCACCAGTATTGTGACCGGCATCTTCACCGCCATCCCCTTTGTTCCTTCGCTCGTCGGTGTTTTGCTGGCTGGCCTTGCCCTCGTCCAGCTGACCACCGCCTGGGTGCACATCGTCGTCTCGGTCCCCAGCAGCCTGCCGTTCTGGAAGCGGCTTCCTCCTTTCCGACGCACCTTTGAGGCTACTTGCGTGCCCGTCTTTGTCAACTGGGCAGCTTCCTCTGCTCTGGGCTTGATTGTGTGGCTCACCGCTGCCGGCCTCAAGCTCCCCGTTTGGGACTACAAGAGGCCCAACGAGGTTCCCGTCGGGGACAGCAGCATGATTTGGAAGGACATCGTTGTCATACTTGTCTTCGTCGCCTTCACAGCCCTGGTCGTTGTTCCCACCCAGGCCGTGCTCATCCGCGTGCAGGCGAGCCTGCTGCCTCCCGATGCCGACACTATCGTGCCTCTGGACCGCTCCTTCGGTGGAGTCGTTGAGCCTCTTATTGTCGGTGGCAAGGGCTATGCCTCCTGGATGGCGGCGTTCAACACCTTCCCGCGCTCTTCGTGGATTCGACTGTACATCCTCTATGCCAAGATCGCGTTGGTCACGATTGCATTCTACGGTCTCGTCATTGCCGTCATTGTCCCAGAGGTCGTGCTCATGTCGAACAAGACCAAGCGCAACTAGACTTTACGCCTGTTCTCCCGTCGTAGATCACCTACACGTGGAGTAGACGTGTGCAGAGTTCGATGAACTGCTGATTTGCCAGATGTCCCACGGCGGGTTCATGATGCCAGGAACGCTGCATGGAGGGACCGGAGGTCGCGGTACTGTTTTGAAACCAACCTCAAGATGATAGAGTGTTGGCATGATCGTACTGTGAGGGAGAGAACGCTTGGACGTCCTCGCGCATTAGGATGAAGCGCAACTCGATGTTGTGTACTTGCCTCGATTTGAGCAAAGTAGCCTGTCAGATTTACCCCTGGATGAATACATTGTTGTCTATCCCTTACTGAAAAGTCTGTGATATGTTGGAGCTGCTTGGGGTCGGTTGGTGTAAGTCAAGCCAAGCTTGCAGGGTGGAACCTTTTTGTTCCACTGTCAAGTAGGTGTATGTAAGAGCAGGGCTCACACTACAGCATATCATGGCAGGGCCTCCGGACATACTTCCAAGGTTTTCTTTCACCACGATGTTGAATTCGGGGGAAAGAAGAGGCGGCCAAGTTGTAAGATTGTTACCATCCACTGCCTAATAATGGGAACAATGTCAAGGGCAAGGGGGGCAGACGCGACCAGTTGGGCGGCGCCAGGACCGTGGCATCCCCGACCCGCCCTCCGTCATCCGCCGCCCTCCGCCGCTCTCCGCCACCGAGCTTCAGGACAAGGACGAGGACGAGGACGAGGAAGAAGTTGCGGCCGCCGCCAAGGCTGAGCTCGAGTAGACCAATGCGTTACGACGAGTTGAATGGGACGGATGAATGATGGTTTGTTTCCCATCCACTGAAACAGCACCTCGGCAGTGAACAAGCGTCAATGCGGGGAAGGAAGTGGCCTAATTCTATGCCTCCATTCATGCACTAGAACAATGGAACTCTCCTCTATTGACCCATCCAATAGAGCACACGCGTGCGCACGTGACGGGGCCAATGGGCAACACCAGCATCCTTGAAGCATTGCTACACCTTGCCCTCACTTCTTGTTATATATATTTTTTCTACGATCCCGTATGCCTTTCGTCCATCATATATCTCGTCCTCAGCCACCGCAGACATGGCGCTGGTGACCCAATTCCTTTCGAGCATTCGGGGCTTCGTCCTGCAGCAAGATGGAGATCAGTTGCGCGACTGGCTCAAGGTCGAACAGAACGCTTCATCGCAGTACTACGAGCTCCAAGCACAGCTTCGGTCCGGTTTCCCAGCTCGGAGCAAGGCCCTCGAGCGATTCGTCGAGAAGTGCCTGCCAGAGGAGGACGACGTTTCGGATGGCAAGGGTTCGCCATGGCCTGGCTTTGTCTCCTTCATGGTAGACTATCTCCAGTACTGGAGAGATGTCAACTTTGACGATCTTCTGGGGCTTCACGAGCTACTAAGCACCCTTCTCACGTATGTGCGCCCACTCCCCTGATGAGACCAAGAATCCGGCAGCTCATTCCGCCCAGATCATGCGCAACAGCGCTGCAAAACCCCACATATGGGGCTATGATGCTCAGAACGAGCATCTCTCTCTCAGAGTCCATGTCCAAGCTGGTCATGACCCTCCACCGGAGACCAGACCTGACAAGTCAGCTCCGTGTTGCCTCGGGCGATGAGGAGAAGAAGTCCTTTGTCGAGAGCGCTGCCGACACGATCCAGAAGATTTTCACTTCCTGTCTGACGGACAGATCCAGCACGAGGTGGAGCAAACCAGAAGGCAAAAAGGTCGGCGTCTACATCTTTGCCAACCTTGTCCTCAAGTTGCTGTTCACCGTAAGTCGCTCGCGGTCGCAGTAGCTCAGCCTCTTCTTGTTTTTAACGCGCCACAGTGCAACAGATCTCGCCTTGCCGTCCAGATGTTCACCAACATTGCAACAAGTGGTCCGGCACTAGGCCTGTTTCCCGCTGCGCAACGCGTCACCTACCTCTACTACCTGGGACGCTTCTACTTTGAGCACAACAACTTCATGCGCTCGGCCGTGTGTCTAGACGAGGCATATATACAAACGCCGCCCGCCGCCCAGAAGCACCGGAGGCTGATCCTCACTTACCTCATCCCCGCCAACATCCTCCTCGGCCGTTTCCCCTCAGAAACCCTCCTCAACCGACCCGAGGCTGCTACACTCAGCCCGATCTACCGCCCGCTAATCCAGTCCATCAAGGCCGGGAACTTTGTCGCGTTCCAGGCCATCATGAAAACCCACGAGCCGTGGCTCTTCACCCACGGCCTCTTCATCACGCTCAACTTCCGATTGCGACCATTCCTCTGGCGGTCCCTCGCCCGCCGCACCTTCCTGCTGACCTACACGCCGCCCGCCGACGCCGCGACCAGCCGAAGAGCAGCGACTCTGGACCTGCACGACGTCGTCACGACAGCCTCGTACCAGCAGCACCTCCTCGAGGGCTGGACGCCCGCCAACGCGCCCCCGCGCGCAGCCGCCCATCACCAGCACCACCACGGCCAGAACCCCGTCTTCCTCAAGGCGGTGAGGAACAGCGCCAGCGCGACCGCCGCAGCTACCGACTCGACGCTCGCGCCGCCGCCGGCGGGCAAGCACCGCCGCCTCCGGCCCTGCGACGGCATCCTGTGCGGCAACCTGGCCGTGACGCTCGGCGAGGTGGAGGGCATGGTGGCGACGCTCGTGGGCCAGTCCCTCATGCACGGCTTCGTCGCGCACGGGCAGGGCAAGTTTGCGGTCGTGGGCACCAAGCAGAAGGGCAGCGCCGTGCTGGCCGGGTGGCCCGAGGTGGCCGGCGCCGTGAGGGAGCGGATGCGGGACCAAGGGGCCGAGATGGACAATGTGCCGGCCTGGGTGAAGGCGCCGTGATTTGGGGAGTTTTTGGGTCTGGGAGGTAGCCGGAGTGCGTTGACGTGTATGATACGTTGTGGTACCTAGTCGTCGCCCTGACATGAGGCGGAGACTGGGGCAAGATTAATCATGTTTTTTGAGTCAGGATATTTGCATAGGACCACGGACACGTGGTGGTCTAGACCTTTCAGGGATGGATAGGATGGTGTTGGGCGTTGGGAAAGAAAGCGTTGAAGTATGCACGTATTGGAGATGCATTCTACCAGGTCGGATCCGCCTCGGGTTTACCCATCCGCTTGGTGTATCACAATCAAGTCCTATATCAGTCTTCACAGCATGCATGCGGCAGTCAATATCGAGTGGATAGGTTTTTTTTTGTATTTTGCCTCTCCCCTCTCCCCTTCCCCTTCCCTGGCATGGGCCTGTTGATGCCTGATACGTAATTCATAGTTCGCGTCTGTATCGTCTAGATAACTCATAGTCTCTCTCTCTCTCTCTCTCTCTCTGAGAGGACCAATACCCCAGGACGATGCCCCTCGCCAAGTGTGCAAAAGAAGAAAATAAACCTATGAATGTTCAACAAAGTCTCGGCTTCCGTCCAAATGTCTCCAAGCCGTCACGTCCCTCCTTGCATCATGAAAAAAAAGGTCTCCACCTCACGAAGGTCTCCAAAGTAATATCCAATCCTGCTGTGTCTCGTTTCTTCAAACAAAAAAGCCCCAAGCAAGTTCCTCCAAATCCAATTCGAATGTCGAGGAAGCTTCTCCCAATAGCGGGGGGAGAGCTCTCGTCCTCTTTTCGCAAGGAATATAACAAAAGGGGGTATAGTTGCAGAAAATGTCAAAAAAAATGCGACGATGGAAAAAAAGACTGCCGGAAAGGTTTGAACGCGGGTCCACCGGAGCACAGCCGGTCAAGAACTTTTCAAAGCCACCAAGAGGGCGGAGACAAGTCTCCAGGCCCTGAATGAGAAAGATCAAACAATAAACACTACCGCCGTGTGGGCAGAGATATCTCCGAAAGTTTGTGGGAACAGTCCTGCCTCTTCGACTGGAGGCATGGGACTGGTATGGTGAAAAAAGTAGCTCAACTGAGCAAGGTAACAGGCAGAACACCATTGGGACCGGGCTGCCCTTGTCAATCGAGGAAGAAAGATAAAAACAGAAAAGGTATAACCAGCAGTCAAAGCAAGTACATGCTGCCGGGTGAGCCGTGGAAGAGAAGTACTAAGTTCCGGCTCCTGTAAGGACGTCCACATCTAGTAGAGCCATGCAGTGGCAACAAGTGCCACGATGAGACCGACGATGGCTGAGCCGCCGTGATCAGGGTTGATGGCGTCGCTCTTCTTTGAGGGAGTCGGCTCCGCGGGGTTAGAGAACTGCCCGGTAGAAGATGGCAGCGTGTACGAGATCGTACCGGCAGCAGTGCTTGTCGTATTTGTAGCCGTTGTCCCGTTCTCGTGGAAGATACCAGGGCTCACGGTGGGAAAAGCCGAGCTGCTTGTGCTGGACGACGAGGAGGACGACGAGCTCGAAGTAGACGAAGTGGTTGGCTTAATGGATGAGCTAGTGGATGTTGTGGACGGCGGCGGCGGCGGCGGTGATGATGACGACGATGACGACGAAGAGGAGGAAGACGAGGATGACTTCGAGGTGGAGCCGGTAGAGCCATCCAGGTTGAAGGCGACGATCTGAGCGGTGGCACCCTTGGGAACGGTCACCACGCAGAAGTCAGAACCTCCGGCGCCAGTTGCGGCGAGGGAGCTGATAACGCCGAAGCCGGAACTCTTGCTGGGGTTGATCTCGCATGGTAGCCCATTGCAGCCTGCACCATCCGCGCACTCGATCCTCAATCCGTAGGTGGGCTTCTGGCTGGAGAGAGCCGAGTCCTGATAGACGGGATTGTAGCCTAGCTTGACAAATGTCTGTCCGTTGCTGTCGGTGTTGGCGCCAGCGACGTAAGCAGCCCAGTTGCCAACAGGCTGGGAAGCCGTGCCCCATACGCAACCCGTCGAGGACGAAACACCAGGGGCGTTGATGTAGAAACTTGAGAACGAATTAGCGCATTGTACTCAGGCCGTAACGAACGACAACACTCACTGTGCCGAGGTGCCATCCCAGTAGCTGGGATCCGGTACAGCCAGAGTCGCAACATCATCGACGTCGGTGGGGATGACCATGGCCTCATCGCCGGGAAGAGTGGTTTGACAGAAAGATACGACTTTGCCGCACTTGTTGACAGCCTTGACGGCGCCGGTGCCGTCGACACAGTACGGCTTGTCGGGAAAAGGCTTGACAGCCTTGCCGCTTGCGTCACAGTACAAGCCACCGTTCTACAAGACGCCACGTTAGTTGTCGGCCCTCAGCAAGCTGGCTGTCCATCAACACCTACCATCGACTGCGGATAGACGTATTTCGAGTTGGGCTCCCACTGCGCCATGACCTTGCCCGACTTGCAGGCGATGGGACAGTACATCCCAGAGGTGCAAGCCACGTCGGGCGCCATGGCGAATCCCTTGTTCTTCGCATTGGGCGTGATGGGAACCAGGTCCGGGTGGTCGGGCAGCGAGCACTGGACGCCTCGCTTCTCTGCTACCTTCTCATCGGAAACAACAATGTCCTCCAGCTGGTGCTCGTGCCTCTGGCTGTGATGGTGGGTATGCCTTGCGCGGTAATGCGAGTGAGCCAGACGGTGACCATGCTTGTCAGCCAGGCACAGAGGCGAAGACAGCAATATCAAGGCCGAGCCGAGAGCGGCCTGCAGCGCCGCGGTCTTCATGGTAGCAAGTTTCCTCCCTTTCCCAGTCTCGTAGATGAATGAGCGATAGCTGATATCTCGTTCAGCAAGAACCGGTCTTGCGCCTCGGCACGTATCAACGGCGATGGCGCCTTCAGAGCGGTTCGGGTTGTCCAATGAGTGTGTGTGTGTGTGTGTGTGTGTTTATGTACGCAAGTCCTCGCAGGCGAGTATGAATGCGACGAGTTGTCGTCGAGCGAGTGAAAGGCAAGCCAAATGGCAAAAGAGCGACAGTCAACGAAAGTGTCTGGTAAGGAGCGACAGAAAGAAGGAGCGTCAGGGTTGAGAGAGGAAAAAAGGAGCGATAGGGTTTGGCGAGACAAGATCAAGCCTGGCTAAGAGCTTGGGAGGAGGAGAAGCCGGGCCATGGGTTGGGTTCGTGGTGTCTGGGCGACGACAGGTGAAAAGAACGTTTTTTTCATTCCTGCGGGCTGGGGGCGCCACCCGATGTGACAGGGGAAGCTGGCGAGACTGATGTCCATCCATGCCCACGGCCATGCCACCCATGTCGACCGCGGCGGCGACGCCACGAACCCATGGCGACGGGGTGTTTTTCGTTGGTGGATCGCGAGCGTAGCTTCATGGGGGAAATGAGGTCTGGATATGGACGCGGGCCGGCGCAGCCAATCAGGCCAGGCCGGCGTGGGTCTCAGCCAGCAAATGTAATTTCGGCTGGTGCCAGCCTGAATCGTGGCCCACGGCTCGAGCGCATTGGAGCACCCCAGCAGTCCAGTCCAGATGTCTCCAGTCAAGTCAAGCATATCCTGGGCCGCTTGGCTTTACCTAATTCTGCGCTTTGTTCCTGATCTTTGTGGGCTGCCACTGCGCCAGTGAGATTAGGTAGACCCCTCTGGCTAACCTCCCAATCTCCTCCTCCGTAACAATCTCCTAACATCATCAAGCCACAATCTGCTGCCAGCTCCATTATCCGCCGAGGACGCCTCGTGCACCCCCTCTTCCCCTCGTGCTTTACCGTTTCTGCTCTTTGTTCGCAAGCCAATCCGGGGTTTAAGTGCATTTGTGCGAACAAGGTGCTGAGGTACTTGCAGGTAATCTGTGCGCTCTCGAATCCCGCACAGCACGGTTCGATGGTTTTGGTTTCGTGATGTGAGGTGGTAATCTCCAAATGTTTACACTGTTTCCAAAAACGCGTTTACCTACATCGCGAACCGTGGAATAAGAGAGAGCAAGGAAACTTTTTTTTTCACCAAGGGAGCTAACGTTATTGTGACATGATGGGTTGCAACAGACTCCAGAGCTTCGATCGGGCCAGTCGCGTGCAGGTCCCGGGTCCTGATATGGCAAGTGATTTGCGAAACTGCCCAACTATTTAGCGCGGGACCAAGCGCAAGCGTGGTGGTGAGATGCACAACGGACATTGAGGTCACATCAGGCAAAGGAAATATCATTCATCTCGCCTAGCCGCCCGAGTACCCAGACTGACATCTTGATTCAATCAAGCACCTGCGTCTGTACCTGCAGCCTGTGACGTCTTCTACAACGGTGCCAGCTTGCCAGCTTTTATTATGCTCGTCGAGTTATCAGGTTCGTGAGCACGCGCGATGGATCGTCACCGAGCAATCACGGCTGGGGAATTACAGAATCTCCCATCTGCCGACTTCATCTCCGTTCACGATAACAGCCGGTTTGTTTTTTCCCCCTTCCATTCACACGGAGCAAAGACGTATTATTGGCTGTCACCGGCCTAGAAAACAATAACAGCTGTAAGACTGGAATGTGCCCGTGATCTGCTTACATACTTGTTCTAGAAGGCTATCAGCTTAAGCTGAAGCTACCTCCCTACTCAGTTTGGCTAGGCACGCCGCTTTGTCACGCCCATTCCAGTCATTCACTATCAGGGCCTCGGTGGGGTTGAGTCTCCCAGAAATCCAAAGTTACCAGCAGAGCTAGGAGTGCGGGAGTAAGCGTGTGGCTTCATGTTTGTCTTGTCCTGACACAGATTCCATCAGAACCAATTCTTCTCTGTGTGAGCACAAGCAACATGCTTCAGCTACATGGTCTACCTCGGCTGGCTGGATGACGGCAATGGAGACCCTGTACGGCGCAGGATACACGGCTCTATCCACAAAAGCCCCGAAGGGGTCAAAGAAGGGAAAGGCCCTCAGCTTCCATGAACTTCACTTGTGGGATCTTGTTTACCCCGTAGTCAGCGGGATACCCTGTTCGGAGTAGATTTGAAGTAGGACATGCTCAGGGACGAAGACTGAAGCCTCAATCTCAGCAAAGTACAGAACTGTCAGTGTCTCTGAGAATCAGCTACTCTGTAAACATCGCTTTCTCCCTTTTGCATTGACCCCATGAAACAAATCAACAGTGGCCCGGCCGAGTCTTGTCCGATCCCTCGAGGAAAACTGATAACGGCATCTCAGATCGGCCTGCCCATACCCGTTGAAGGGTGGCCAAGCCGATTTGTTGTTTGTTGTGATCGCACTCTCGGGGTTTGTTTGTTTGTTTAAGGGCTGCCAGATCCTCGACCAACTTCACACTAGTATCCGACACCAATGATGACATGCCATTCCTGATCCATCAAACAGTGTTCGGCGATTAATGTTTAGACTGACGTTTGACTTCAGCTGAGCTCTTCGTTCGTAGGTGATGTCATCTTCGTCCCGGCTGAGGAGGCTCATAGGTAGGTATCCTGACTTTTCATCCGATAACATTCAGTCCAGTCCTCCCCAGATTTGATGGTGAAGTTGTCCTTCGCATCGGCCAGCTATGGGGAATCAGCGCTCATTTGCTGCATTCGGCATACCGCCGTGAAGAACTACTATTCTTCAAGGACGACAGAATTTCTCAATTTCCCGAAGAAAGGCTCACTGATCTGAGAGTCTGGTGAGTATTTCTTTGCGCGGCTATTTTTGGCGCGCAAACCACACACACACACACACACACACACAAGCGGCGGTGGATTCGGGCACTGCCTCAACGGCCGCCCAAAATGGCAAAACCCACACCTCCGACCCAACCACCGCCTCTGCGGCCGAGAATAGGGTAAGCACTGGTTGGTTGGTTGGTGGTTGGTGAGTGCTTCTCTTTGTTTGGTTCACATGTGCTGTCAATGTGCTGCTTTTAGCTTAGCAACCACTTTGACGAGCGCATCCTCACGGCCAACCTCCCAAAGGCCTCGTCATAGTGCTTACCATGGCCGGATGTCTGGTCTTCCGGGACCAACACCGCCATAAATATCATCGACTCAAGAGGAGCGCTAGACATCCTCGAGGCTGCTAATTCCTCTCCAGAGCCAACATCGTGGAGTAGAGCGCCTCGCATGCTAAGCGCCAGGCCCTCGGGACAGAGGAGTTCCGCACTCAGCCTCAGCAAGTGCTCAGTCTGAACAACCAACTCGTCGGCTCACAATGAAGCTGTCCCACAATGAAGTTGTCCCGAGGTGAGGTATAAGATAAGGCCGAGATCCTCTCTTCGATGCCAATTCTGTCTGTTCCATATCCGGAAGAATAAGATCATCAAGAGCTTTCGAGATATTTCTTGTCGTTGTCCTTTGGTCTCCTATTTCCTTTAGAGTCTTCAAGGTCTCGGTTTTCTACTATTACGCTTTCAACGATCTCAGTGTCATCACCACTGTTCGTCCAGCTATCTTCACCCATCAGTCAAGATGTACTCCAAGAGCGCAGTCGCTGCCATCCTCCTCACCTCCGTCGCCGGAGTTCTCGGTGCCCCGGCCCCGGCAGAGTCTCAGCAGTCCTCACAGACCGCGACCGTTTCGCCTCCAGCTGCAACCCCCGAGCTGAGCCTGACGGCCCGACTGACGCTGGCTGATACGTGAGTAACAAAGCCCAAGATTCTCAAACCCGCTCCCTCATGAGAGCTTCCGGGCTGACCTTTGTACAAAAACCACAGTGCCGCGGACCGCTATGCCCTCCTGCCCGACGACAAGCAGTTTGTCTTCGACTTCAACCAGGAGCAGAAGGGCGCCGGCAAGGGCGGCCAGCTCGTCGCCGCCAACCGCAAGACCTTCCCCGCCCTCGTCGGCACCGGCGCCGGCATGGCCGTCGGCCGCGTCGGCCCCTGCGGCATCAACACCTTCCACGTGCACCCGCGCGGGGCCGAGCTGCAGATCGTCGTCAAGGGCAGCCTCGTCACCGAGATGACGCCCGAGAACGGGGTCAACAACGCGGACGGCACCCGCCGCGTCATCAAGACCACCCTCAAGCCCTTCCAGATGACGCCGTTCCCGCAGGGAAGCGTCCACGTCCAGTTCAACGACAACTGCGACGAGACCGTCTTCGTCGCTGCCTTCCCCAGCGAGGACTTTGGTACCGGCCAGGTGGCGGATGAGCTGTTTGCTGCCGCCGACGACGACCTCGTCGCTGCCGTCCTGGGACAGTCCATCGACGGCGCCCAGGTCGACAAGATTCGCAAGGCCATCCCCAAGAGCATTGCTCAGGGAGTGGATTCGTGCCTCAAGAAGTGCAACATCCCGAAGCGGTCTCTGTAAGAGATTGAACCGCGTGGATGGTGATGATGAATTTGGATGGCGATAACTACGAGGGGTATTTCGTCTACTTGACTTCGCATTGCTTCTCTTCTCTTCCTTGTTCTTACGCTTTTACAGCGTCTTTTAATGTTGCATAGCATAGGCATAGCATGGTACCTGGCATTCAATAGATAGATAGACTGCATTCTATGGCGTTTTGATTACAGTGCAGCTGCCCCTTGAAATTTCGTGACAGTGTCTAGTTGATCAGATGCTTTGTTCGGGGCCAATGCGTACAATTTTCTACATGATATTGCTCCAACTACGCTCATGCATCTGATATCAAGATGGTACCCGAATGATGGTAAGATCAACCCTCAACGCCAGTGGATGGACACAGTAAAATGTCCTTTTAGTGACTACGTCTCCTCCTCTCATCTCCTCCTATACCGACTCAATCCTCTGAACGACCATGGCCGAAGCAGCGCCACCGCCATTGCAGATAGCAGCCACGCCATACTCGCCAGGCTTCAAGTTGTGCAGGAGGGTGACCAAGATACGCGAGCCGGAGCTGCCCAGTGCGTGGCCGAGGGAGATGGCACCACCCAGAGGGTTGACGTTGGCGTCCTCCAGGCCAAGAATCTAGGGTAAGGGAGAAACAAGTTAGTAAGAGGGGGGTTTTCCATGGCACAATAACACGCACCTTCTCGTTGGCCTTGATGACGGCGGCGAACGCCTCGTTGAACTCCCAGATGGCGACCTGGTCCTTTGTGATGCCGGCGCGCTCGAGGGCGATGGGCACGGCCTTGGCGGGCGCGATGGGGAAGTCGATGGGCTCGACGGCGGCGTCGGCGGAGCCGCAGATGCGCGCCAGGACGCGGGAGCCGGCGCCGTACTTCTGCGCGATCGCCTTGCTGCCGATGACGAGGGCGCTGGCGCCGTCGTTGAGGGTGGACGAGTTGGCGGCGGTCACGGTGCCGGTGCCGTCGCGCACAAAGGCCGGCTTGAGGGTGGGCACCTTGTCGAACTTGACGTCGAGGTAGCCCTCGTCGGTGTCGACGACGGTCTCGCCCTTGCGCGTCTTGACGGTGACGGGCGCGATCTCCTCGGCGAACTTTCCTTCCTCCCAGGCGGCCTGGGCGCGGCGGTAGGAGCGGATGGCGTACTCGTCCTGCATCTCGCGCGTGAGCTGCTGCGTCTTGGCCGTGTTCTCGGCGCAGTTGCCCATGTGGAACTGGTCGTAGACGTCGGTCAGGCCGTCCTTGATGAGCCCGTCCTCCATCCTGACGTGGCCGAAGGCGGGCATGCCGCTGGCGCGGGGCACGTAGTAGGGCACCTGGGACATGTTCTCCATGCCGCCCGCGATCTGGGCCTCGGCGAGCCCGAGCTGGACGTTCTGCGCGGCGAGGGCGACGGCCTTGAGGCCCGACGCGCAGACCTTGTTGATGGTCGTCGCCTCGACGGTCGTGGGCAGGCCCGCGAAGATGGCGGCCTGGCGGGCCGGCGCCTGGCCGATGGAGCCCTGCAGCACGTTGCCCATGTAGACGTCGGTGATCTCGGACACGGGCACCTTGGACTTCTCGAGCGCCGACTTGATGGCGACGGCGCCGAGCTTGGGCGCCGATACCGAGGTGAAGGAGCCGTTGAACTTTTGGGTTTTGTCATGGCCCCGTTAGTCTTCCGAACACCCTCGGCGCAACTCGGCAGACACGGCGGCGGTATGCGGTGGGCTTACCTTGGCGGTGGGCGTCCGCGCGGCGCCCAAAATGTAGGCGTCGCGGATCTCTTGCCTCAATGCTGTCCTGCACGAGAACTGACGGGTCTGGCGGGCTGCGGTCCGGAGGGAGGAGAATGCGCCGCCTCTCAGGGCGGGCTGGAGGCGTTGCAACGTCATTGCTCAAGTTAGAGGGGCGGCTAGGATGGCCGCGACAAGGAAGGAAAGGAACACGACAAATCTGTTTATGCAAAAAGATACGAAAATGTTGGCGGCTCTCGAGATCGACAGTAAATGGTCCTCCAGGATTTTAGAAAATGTAGTAGAAGGGAGGCAGAGTTTCAAAGGATGATTATACTCCGTAGATATTTGCGGACGGCAAAGGTGTAGGCCGGGTTGGTCCTCGGCTCGGCTTAAGAGGGGAAAGTCGCGGCGAAAGCGCCTATTCCGCCGGTAAGCGTGCACCAGACGCTGGCGCCCCTTCGGCACTGAACCCCAGCTCTGACCCTCACCAACTAACTACTCCAGCTTTATGGGGGAACACCGCGGCAGTGTGCCCCATTCGTCTGGATTGCAGGACCCTACTTACTTGTACTTGTAAAGAGCTAATATTCTCCAACTGTCCCATAAACACTCTAGATTCCGTTGCTTCACTCTACCTTCTGCTATGTACGTCATTCCCCTGAGGTCTCGTTTCGTGTTTCGTGGATTGACTTGTCGACACTGGATTGTCCTTGACATGTGAAGACGGTAGGCACTTAATACACCTAGTGGCACGTACTGTACACTGTTTTTCAGGGTCCTTACTCAGTCCACAGGGCGGTCACGTGTCACCGTTCCAGAAGACTTTGGACTGCCGCAAGTCCAGTCGCCTCCTTTGGTTGATAAGTACCTAAGGTAGTGATGAGCTAATGTAGCTAATTAATCGCAGTTCGGCGAGTGGCGGGCGCGCGCCAGTGAAATCCAGTGAAATCACAGCGCCGCCACTCGGACCCTGTGACACGATTCTCTACGTCTCAACCCTCCTTCTTTCTGCCTTATCCCCCTACAAGAAAAGGGCTCCACGAGACATCGGGAATCCATCCGTCGAGGGTCGATAACCCATCTTTTTGATCAAGCGCCAGAGTTCTCCTCTCCATCAGACGTCACTGCGATCCGCAAGGAACAAGCCACCATGTCTACCGCTGCGCGCCGCCGCCTGATGCGTGACTTCAAAGTAAGGCACCTCTTTGGTCATCCACGAAAGCTGACTGCAAGATGCTGACCGCCCGCAGCGCATGCAAACCGATCCTCCAGCAGGCGTCTCTGCATCCCCCGTACCCGACAATGTCATGACGTGGTTCGTCGTCCCTGTACGGTCCCTGTTGGCCGCCCTTTGCTGATCTGATCGTGTTGGGCTGCAGGAACGCTGTGATAATAGGACCAGCCGACACGCCTTTCGAGGATGGCACATTTCGTCTGGTGATGCACTTTGAGGAACAGTACCCTAATAAGCCACCGTCCGTCAAGTTCATCAGCCAGATGTTCCACCCCAATGTTTATGCCACTGGCGAGCTCTGCCTCGACATCCTCCAGAACCGATGGAGTCCAACGTACGATGTGGCCGCCATCCTGACCAGCATTCAAAGGTACGCATGCTTTCTAGATGAAAAACAAAACTGGCCCAGGAAAGACCGACCATCAGACTAACCTGCCTGTCTTATGGTGTCCAGTCTTCTCAACGACCCCAACACCGGCTCGCCTGCCAACGTCGAAGCCTCCAACCTTTATAAGGATAATCGGAAAGAGTACACCAAACGAGTACGCGAGACGGTCGAGAAGAGTTGGGATGATTGATCGCGAACGCTGTGTCCAATCACGTCACCCTCCCCCCCCGTCATGCCACGATAGCCACCTCGACAGCGTTTGATTCATTGCAAGCATCAGTGGGAGTCGGGAACAACTAGCATTTCGCCCTGGACAGATGAATGATACCTCACCACGGATCTGGAGGGCTTTCGGCGTTTTGGCAAACGATTCATTTAGCAAATGTCCCGTCACCGTACATAGCAGCAGGGAGTTTGCGGGAATCCCGTTCTGGCGTCGTTAGGTCCGTCAAACGTGACGCATCTCAGTGCAACTTGGTCAGTTTAGAACACATAGCTTGCAGCTTTCGTGGGAGGATTTGTTGAGCTCAGCGTCCTTGTCTCCATGTTGATCTCGGATGTGGAATACGTACGTGCCAACGTGGGCCAAGTCCACAGAAGATGAAAAGGTCCTGGTATCTTTTTGGTAGCCCATCACGCATACACGAAACGTAGCCTAGTATGGTTTCGTCAATTCAAAGAAAAAGAAGAAAAAACCATGAAATCTCGGATACACTTGCTTGCATTACATGACTGGCGTCGCTAGCATTCAGTTATTTGAACCCAGATCATAAATATGACCTCTCTCGTACCATATGTGAACTTGAAAAGGCAATCGAACCTCTAGCAATTGCATCGAACCCTTTTTTTTTTTTTTTGGCTTAATTATGCGACCTTGAACAGCAAGGCATGAAAGCAGATACCAAATGTTGGAAGCCCTGTTCCCCATCCGAGGCTGCGAGTGTGTTTGTTGCCTTCGATGACTAAGCAGAACAACGACCGTTGTGGACTTGACAACGGATCGTTCTAACTAAACGAGCTCGACACTCTCTTCACACTGGATATCCTCAAACAACCAATTGCTCAAGCTTACTATATAACGGCCGTATATCCAATTTGAGCCGCCAGGGCTGAGATTCAGCTAAAACCCAGGGGTATTGCAGCCGTTTTTGACTCGGAGACAACATCCGTGGGGAGAGCCTTCCTCATTACATGACCTTGGAGGGCCTTGGTTCTGGACGGCAGATGGGATTGAGGCCTCCTCTTTCAGGAATCCTACGGGCATCATAGAGTCATACGAGAAAGTCCACGAGTGGTGACGAGTTCTGAACCAACCTTGCGGAGACATTTGGCTGTTGGACCACGCTCTCAAAGGCTCTCGAACAACTCTCAAGACCCACTCTGCATTGCACCGCAGGAGGACAGCCAGATCCGTGTTCTTCCCTCATCATAACTTAGGACAGAAGAGCTCCATACACGCTACTCCCGCTCTCAATTGGGTTTGCCCTGCGTTAGGTCTGGTTCTTCTCAGCCTCGGCGGAAGCTCGGCGGAAGCGCCGGTCCTGGGGATATAAAGGGCTCGTCTACATCTCCTTGGGGTGTCCACGATGGCAGCCGTTGCTGTTGGAAGTGCTCAGCCCCTCGCGGCGAGTGGTCAGACAGTGCAGTATACTACCATACATGTTGCCAGATCTGATGGAGTCGTATATACCACCGAGGAGATCAACAACGCGAGCAGTGCCATGCCCGTCGCGGGCCCGCTGGACGACTCCGATGCGAAGGTGCGGAACTTCAAAGTCTCGCTCGGGAGACTATTGAGGTTCAACCTCGGCAGGCCAGATGACAGTAAGTCCTTTCTTTTTTTAGACTGCGCGTGTTTTTATCGTCGCGGCGAGGTATCTAGCGAGGCTGATGACTGACATCAACAGGGAACGAGTACATGGTTGAGCTGCCGGAGGGCTACAACTTCTTCGTACGCAACTACGAGAAGAAAACCGCTGCAGGCTCGGCATCCGGGCCCTCGTCTCGCAAGGACATCCATGTCTTCGGCCACCCCAAGAGCATCAGGCTGTCCTATCGAACACCCAAGGAGTTCGGGCCCCATTTGCTGTGGCTCCTGAGCGACTCGCAAGACAGAAAGGACTGCTCCTGCCTGATATGCAACCCCGCGCCGCCGAAGAAGGCCAAGGCTCCCGTGCCGCCGAAGCCCTTGCCTGTTGGAGCTGGCGATAAAGCCGTGCCGCCTCTGGCGGCATCACAGTCCCCTATCCCCGTGCCTGCGAAGACAGCTCAAGCAGCTCAAGCAGCAGCACCTGCTGCAGGTGCTACAGAAAGTACACATCAGATGCAAAGCACGACAAAGCCTGCGCCGACAGGGACAACTGGCGTTATGATCACCGGAAATACAGAAGTATTTCGCAGCGGTGAGTTGGTGTGGTATGTTTCGGGTTCTGCCTGGCGGTTGGGCGTGGTCTGGTCCGTGGATACAAGTCACGTAAACAAGGTACATCACAAGTGCATCATAGCCCCGATCAACCACGCCTGCTTCAGAGCGGCCAGCGTCGAGAAGCAGTTCAGCGGGATGCGGCCGTTCTTGTCGTTCAGCGTGCCGGCCGTCTCGATCCCCGACCTGGTTCCGAAGACTTATAACGACGTCGACTGGCCGAGCCTGGTCGAGGCATACCGGGCCGACCCGTCCAAGAATCCAGAGGTCGTCGGGCTCGAGGCCTCCAAGATGGCTGCCAACATGATCAACGCCTCCTTTTCGCTGTTTAACAAGCGGCAGAGCATCGGGCCCGACCGGAGCATCTACGGAGGCGTCTTCCTAGGCGCCGAGCAGATCCGCGTCGGCGATGCCCTGCGGATCCAGAAGTCGGTGCGGCCGGAGGAGCCCGGCGTGGAGGTCATGTTTGTCAACACCATCTTCAACACCACCGAGGCCGGCGCCAACGGGACCAGCCTCGACCACGTCAGCTTCGTGGGGAGCGTCTACATCCTCGAGTCGACGGCCAACGGGCAGGCGCCGCCGCCGCGGCCGGCGGCGGAGCAGCCCCACAGCCAGATCTTCGTCGACGAGGTCGCGGTGCGGGACAGCATCACGGCGGGCCTCGGCCGCCGGTGGTACTGGCGGCTGGTGCAGAAGGACGCCGTGCGCAAGGAGGCCGACATCTTTGGCCGGTACTACCTGACGGACAAGCTCATGGGGATCCTGGACCCGCAGGGCTACCGGGACAGGGTGGCCCAGGGCGTCGTCTCGGACGGGCAGGCCCACCTCAACAAGCGCATGCAGGCCAGCGACGCGCGCTACTTTGGCCGCAGGGCCAACAGGCAGGCCACGCTGGGGGCCTGCGTCGGCGTGCAGCTGAAGCTGGGCGAGGGCATCGTGGAGGAGCCTGCGTCTTGAGGTTTGCACGCGGTCTTTGTGTGTGTTTGAAACTACGGCACGGCCAAATAAAAAAGCCTGGAAGGGGCCATGGGAGTGACTTTGTGTGTTGCGACTTTTTTTCTTTACGAGTGGCTTGTTCAGCGGCAAAGTACAGCGTTTTCAAATGGAGGCACGTAGAAGCTGGAAAAGCATGCAATGTATTCGATCTCAACCAGCCCGCAGCGCTCTTGTGTCACGGGCTCTCCAACTCGATGCGCTCGCGTCCTTTACCTCGGAGTTAGAGCAGGTTATCAGGAAGGATTGCGAGTTGCAAACAGGTTGCACGGACTCTTTCTCTATGCACGTGGACCTGCGAAAGGTCATGTACGGAGTAGGACAGATGGACAGATACTCGATCCTGGGCCTTCCAGAACGAGTAAACGAGAAGTCGCACAGGGGTCCATCTTTTATCAATTTATTGCCTGTTGGTCCCCAAGAGCCAAGACTCTCTAGACCAGCAAGTGGCTTTTCTTGGATTTGTCGTAAAACGCGCCACTTATCAGCAGCCAGAGCCAGACACAAGGAAAGAAGAAGAAGGACAGAAACCCCAGATTCGGCGGCCCCCGCCGACCGGATGTCCTAATCAAGCGTAGTCTAGCGTCCTGCTGAGAGAAGCGATGGAATCGTTCCGCGGGAATTGAGGATATAGGCAAATTGGTGAGCGGGATGACCGTGCAGTTTGTGTGCAGTTCGAACGCCCCGGTCAGTGAAGTAGTCTGTGCTGCAGCTCCCGATTTACGTAAACTTACAGCTACGAGTTCAGAGCTCTGTTGCCTGTCTTGTAGTTACCTACAGAGTACGTAGGATCGTGCAACACACCAGGACGGGGGCGCACATGGATCACAGAGGAGAGCTGTAGGGCCACACACCTTGGGGCCTCATCCTCCTGTCGCACTCAGCAGCCAGCCAGGCTACGCATGCATACGCTGTGATCTTACTCGAGAGAGCATGCTGCCTTTTTGGGCGTAGAAGCTTGCCATGCTGTATTGTATCGGCGGTGTGTATGTGTTGCCAATGCTGTGGGAGCAAGTCAGAAAAAAAAGGAACGAGTTTGTGCAATGTACCTGTCATCCGACGCGATACCCCCTACCCTTGCCCCTTTCTCTTCTCGTTTGGGTCAGCATGTGAGATCCAAAATCCTCCATCCATCCCTTGACCGGTTTTCCAAATAGTACAAGTAGTATCCCTCCGACACACGCCCCTCCATCAACACCCCCCTCCCCTTTCTGTTCTCTGTTTTTCTTCTTCTTCTTCTTCTTCTTCTCCTGCTTCCCTATTCTTCCTCCCCAGGGAAGGTCTGACCCGACAGCACGGGAGCAAATCTCGAGCGTTGTCAAAGAAAAGCCGCTTTGCCGCCTTGGCGGGCTAGGAAGGAAAGTGATTCGGTTGGTCCAAAGGGGAGGTCAATGAGTAAGACATTATATAACAAAAAAAAAAAGGCCCGACCTTATTGAGATTGAGCGAGAGAGCCATGTGTGCAGTTTGATTTGCTTTTTGCCTGCCCGCCACTCTCCCCCCTTCCTTCTGGGCAAGGTGTTTGGTTGGTTGGCTGGGATTGATCCAGGGGGGGGGGGGGGGGGGGGGTAATCTGCCTGGGG